TTGATTTCAGCTGAAATAGTGAAACTCCTACGGCTTGAACACACACTGAGGACACTGAACACGTCGAGCATTTGTTTATGTTGATTTGGATGACAATGGTTTACAGTTTAGGAAAAATCAGAAAAGTATAATTTAAAATAAAAGCACATTTACTCAAAATTGCGCTGGATAAGGTGTTTTTTTCGGTCATACCGAAATAGATGTATTTCGTAAAACTACAACGGAAACATTTTTTCCCGCATCTCATGAATCACGTGATCGACAGCCGGACGTCACTGCTGGCGGGAAAAGACGAAGTAGTTTCTCAAGTAGGCGGGGCTTGTCACCGACGTCTCCTCTGATTGGCTGATAGATGATGAACGCTGTGGCTGAAATATGAACATATCTCATGTATCCGTTTACAACCGTAGCTGACATGATTTTAATGACTTATTGCCTGAACAAGACTGAGATTTTAATTGAATTAACAGAAACACTGCAATTACAAAATTGTGTTTTTCATATTATTTCTTTATTTTATTTTATTGTTTTTTTATTATTATTATTATTATTTTTACATTAGCAGAATATAGACAAAGACTTGCATTGACACCATTGGTGATGCTGCTTTAACCCATACCTGCACACTTCTTTTTAGCCAAACCTTTTCCCTCCACTCAACTTTCCAAGCCCATTTTTGGATACAGAACTTATTAAACCTAAGACACAATCAGATTTATTTATTTTAACAAAAAAGAAAAAAGATCCAAACGCTTGTACTATCTCAATCTCAATCCAGTGACCATGACTGTAAGATTCACTTTTCGTATAGAATTATTAAAATAAATGATCTTTGACAATGTTCTGGTTGAGATCCGCATATTTCAATGACGGGGGGAAATGAGAGGCCTGTACTTGAGGTCAACTTTACAACAAGCCTTATGAATTCGGAAAAACAAACCACTTCTGATTGGCTGGAAAAGTGGGGGTTTTATTAGAGGCACGTGCGGAGCGGAAACGCTTCACAGCCGCAGACAGTGACAGCTGTTGCTGTTGCCATCCAGTCCTGTTGAAGGAGTGAACTGCAGTGACTCGCGTATTTCTGGGCGTGCTCATCTTGTAGAGAGAGAGAGAGAGGGAGAGATAGAGAGAGAGAGAGAGATGGAGGGGGCTTGAGTGTTTCTGACGGGAACGTAAAGATGAAGTCCTGAAGCCCCTCCGCACACATCGGGGGATCCATTGAGAGAGTTTCGCAGCGTTAGTCATCCATCCGCAGCGCGTGCGTGCGTGCGTGCGTGTGTGTGTGTGTGTGTGTGAGCGCGTCTGTTGCGCGCGCCCTCCGCCGTATACCCTGAGATCCACAACGGGGGGCACGGTCGCACGCCGGCGGGGTCCGTGGTGGCGGAGGGCCTGGGGTTTCGCCCGGGTTGTCAGGCTGTTTGCGCAGGACGTGGCGGTCCGACGCCGGTGACAGGGCAGGTGATGTTTGCTCACGTCAGCCGCTCGCGTTTGATGAGGGGCGCAGGGGACGCGGATGGAGGGTGCGCGCTACTGTTGCAGCGCCTCACCGGATAACTGCTGCTATCTCATCCTGTCCGTCTGTCCCCCCCTCCCCCTCCCCTCCTCTTTTTAAAATTTTTTTAAAACTTATTTTTATTTACTTTTTCTTTTAGCTTGTTTTTGGACCAGCGGAACTCTTTAAGAGCGAAAAGACGCGGGATTACAGGGTTTTATTTTTATTTATTTTATTTTTTTTTTATTTTTAGGTGCGTGTGCGTGGAGTGCGCATCATTCCTTGTGATTCCCCCTGTACGCGCAAGAGAGGCAATGCGCCCACCCATGCGATGCTAGCCTATTAGCTGAAGAGAAAGGCAGAGAGAAAGAGAGAGAGAGAGAGAAGCACAGAGAGAGAAAGAGGGAGAGAGGTTTCAAGTCCTGGATCTCATAGAGGAGGCTAATTTACGAGTCTTGTTTTGCCTTTCAGGAAGGGGGGGGGAAAAAACCGGGAGAGATAAGAAGGGGAGGGTGGTCGGTGAAGGAGAATGCAGCAATCACATTTTTAAGCATGCAGAAGCGGGCCGTTTCCGGTTCCTAGGCTCGCCGTATCATCACCCCCCCATCCGACGCCAAGCAGCATCCGTATGGGGAAAGCAGAGGCAGACCCAGATGGCATGGACACTTCCACGACGTCTGCCGCTCTGCCCCGCCTGCCCTGCCGGAGCCCGTTCGCTGCCGCCGCCGCCGCCGTCTCTCTCCTCCAGCTCGCTCCGCCGCCCAGCAGCACTGCAGCACAGCACAGGCTGACGGCATGAGGCTGGATCCGGTGCATCTCTCCATGCTGGTCATCGGGGTCTCCTTCGCCTGCTACGCCCCGAGTCTCAACTCCCTCCAGGACCAGGCGTACCGATCGGCCGTGGTCATCGAGGGCGAGGTGCGCTCCTCCCCGGAGAACGTCTCCGCCAGCGAGCCCTACAGCGTGAATGTCAGAGTGCTGGATGTGTGGCCCGTCAACAGCGGCGGCCTCGAGAGGGAGCAGCTCGTGACCGTCGGGGACTTCGGCTCCGAGGCACCCTGCACCACGGTGGAGAAGGACCACAGGTACATCTTTTTCATGGACCCGACCGCCGAGCCCCTGGTGTTCAAGGCGTCCTACGCCCCCGTGGACGCCAGCGAGCCGGAACTGAAGAAGAATGTGGAGAGAGTGCTGTGCGAGGACTGCGGTAAGTTGAACTCCCTCCCCCCACCCCACCACCACCACCATACACACTCACACCACCACCACCCACCCACCGCTTCTCCTCGACCTCAACCTCAACACACACACCCCCTTTTATACCTGCCGTGCACCCACAGGCCGGCGGAGGTGCCACGGTGATGTAAGGCGATCTGTGGATGCCTGGCGTCTGGTCCGCACAAGCGGGGAGGAGGAGGGGTGGGGGGAGAGCAGAGACGCTGAACACCCGAAACCTCCACAAACTCCAGATTTTATTTTATTTTTGTTTGTTTGTTTTTTGTCCGAATGAGTGAGAAATAAGCGACGGAACGCGCCGAGCAAAGTTGTAGTTTCCAGTTTCGGTTCCCTTGTCTGTAGTGCGTGGGGAGACGCCGTGTGTCAGAGTTGGACCAAGTGTGCCAGAATCACGCGACGGACGCCTTAACCTCCTTCTGTAACTTTTACACGGCTTGCCCTTTCGTTGCAGCGGCTGCTGTCAGATTTGGAGCTAAAATGGTGCAAATCCTCCAGAGTGTTGAGCTCGTAGCGACGGCGGCGTGTTGGTGGAGGCAACTTGTCGTGTAAAAATTAAACAAACGTGCCTTTGTTTATTACCCTTTACATCACAGAAGCTGTTGTACATAATGTCTCGTAATTAAATATTTATAAGAAACTCCCCAGTATGTAACAGTGTAGCAGGAGTTTATGTTAAAACAAGAAATTTGTGAGGGGAAATGGACTCAGTTCTTCTCAAATCTCTCCTTTTTTTACGTACGGGGGTCAGCTGATTAGCTCAAATAAAAAAGTGTGTTTGTTAAAAGCACAGTTGGGATGAAAACAGCTGACACCACGCAGTTAAAAAAAAAAGCTTTATATTCTCTATATTTAGCATCCAGAATAAACAAGGCTGCTGTCTGGAGGCAGTAATTCCTCCAGAAAAGCTCACTCAGATGTCTAAACAAAGGATTCAGCGAGTGTTTGAAATGACAGTTCCTCCTGCTATTTTTACATCGGCGACCTGCTAAAATTATCAAGCCTTTAATCCGTTTTGACAGTCGCTGTTGTCGTCAGTCTAAATATATTTTCGTAAAGGAGGCAGAAGTTCAGGAGAGGAGCTCTACTCAGCAGATGTTAGCTTCAGCTTTGCCTCTTTTTTTTTTTTTTTTTGCCCTGTGTGAGAGAGTCCCTGCAGCTTGGCTTTGTGAATAATGCATGTTTTTCACCACAGGAGTAACATACACACTCACATGAAGAAGCATTCACATAGTGAATTAGTGACTTTATCACCATCCGGAGTGGCAACAAGTGGCATCGCTGCAACTTGGGGTTTTTTATTTTACCTTCTATATTAAAGTGCTTCTAGGTTGCTGGACAGTAAATGAAATCATACATGTGTAAACAATAAAATCTCAGCTAAAGATTAAGGTTATTGGCGCACCTATTAAGTTTCGCTTTACTTTTAAACTTGATCCGAGAACTTCTTAATGTGCATATATATGACACGATGCTTTTAGCCACACTTTTAGGTTTTCAAAAGTGCAGGGGATGTGAGCGAATTGGAAAGGGGTTGTGATTGGGTATCACATCATATAGTAGCTTAAAAAATATAGGAATGCTACCTGAACTACATAAAGCAGTCATGAATACTTTAAGTGGCAGAATTATGTGTTTTCCAGGCACATAATGCCATTTTGCAGCACAATCAAGTTGCCAAATACATACAAATTTTTACTTTGTAATTTAGTCTCTGTCTCTTTAAGAAGCTCCTGCTCTTCTTGAAACATCTGCTTTCAGGAAGTCATCAAAACATAGCTCCTCTGTTAACCCTTTAACATCGTTTTACCAGAAGTAGCTCGTATAGTGACTTTAGCAGGTGTGCAGTTCCGCCAGGTGTTTGCTAATCCCTGCTGGCTAGTCTGTAGGAGCCTAGTGGGGGGTCGTAAGGGAGGCGGCTCTGTGAAACTCTGAGGAGGAGCTTTGTCCATGGAGGTGGCGCTCAGTCCACACAGGCGTTCTGCACAGCTGAATGGTTGCCACGAGAGATTAACAATTTTACACTATGCTGCCACTTTGACTACACCTAATTAGAGATCAAAATTCAAGTGTGTTTTTCTTAAGTTCCCCAGTTTTGTTTTGTAATATCGGTCACTTCCTGGAATATTATGACTTGTTGGTTGTGACTGGGGATTTTTTTCCATCATAGAACTACCCTAATTGGATGAGAGCGATCTGTCTATCATTCGCTCGTGCTGTGGTTCTGTTACGTACTTTGCTTGCTTTTTGGTCTTCTTGGTGTTCCATACATAGGAGCCTGTGTCAGACGTAAATTTAGTGAGGTAGAAAAGCTCAACACCACAAACTATATGTTCATTTACAAAGATGTATGTGCGCATAGGAGTTTCAACAAGACTTGCAGATTTTGAGCAAAGCTGCATGAAAAGTAAGGATGTCAAAACTCACTTTAACAACTCATGGTCAACGCCATGGTCACCCATGGACCTGTGTGAAGAGGACCTGTGCTTATATTTGCCCCCTTGCAGAATTAGCAGGATGTTAAGCCTGGGAAAACAATCCAAAGGCCATCGTAAGAGAACTGCCATCTTGGGTTCACCAAATCTCCATAACGACCCGTATGGCAACCACTTTGTAGAGAGAAATGCCAGAGAAAACCTTTTCCGTCCTACCGTCACAAACGGAAACATGTGGAGTTTGTTCAACTCTGTTGTACTTTAACTGGAACAAAGTGCTAATTAGATCACAGTTAAGCTTCTTGGCTCTGACAAAAGTTCAATAGCTTGTTTATATCTGTCCAAACAGGCTGGTTATAGACAACTTTTTAGCACAGTTAGTGCTCAACCAGTCTTAGATAAGAAATATTGTTCTTGAAAAACATTAAAAACAGGCTTCTTATGATGCCACTCATTTCAAAAAGTGTGATTTGTATCTGCGTTTAATCATATATTTTTTTTATTTAATGATATTTATCGACACTTTTGTAGAACAAAAGTGGAGAAAATAGCAAGAATAACATTTCCGATCAGACTTTTTATTTCCCATCAGTAACTCAAATTTGCCATGATAACGATAAATCAAAATGTCTTGTCTTGATAGGACTTTTCTCTTTTTTTTTTTTTTGCAATAAATTATACAATAAATGCCCAAACCTGTAACTGTAAAACAATTTGAGGATTTCTGCATCTAGATCACATACAGGGTAAAACCACAGGAGTTAAAGGCCAAACATATTTATCAGCATGGAAAACTTTCAGGAATAGATTGAATTACTGCTATTATTATTAGCTATCTTGTCACATTCTCACATTACCTGAGAAAAACATTAACTGATCTTCTTTTATATTGTCTTAACTATTAGCTCTAATTCTTTCCCTTGTTCTTGTCCTTCTCTCTCTCCGTTGCAACAACTTTTTGTTGAAATAAAATCCTCAGTTGTGTCCATGACGTCTGTCTGTGCTGAGTTAAAGTCAGAGACGATCTAAACTATTTCCATCGCTCTGATTTGTTGCCTCTTCCCCCGACTTTTTGGGTACCTCCCCCCTCTCTTTTTCCTCCGTCTCTGCTTCATTTCTTTCCAGAATAATTGTCTCTCCAATAAATGAGCCAGTTTTTAGTGCCTCCTTTGTTCCTACGGAGGACTGATCCTGTCAAAATAGGCACTAAAAATCCAAATAAATAAATGGCTTAATAAAGTAATTAATTCATCTGACAAACACTGCATATGGAAAATAAACATAAGAACTTTCCCAACTCCTTTTGATGTTGACCAATAGGAGGGAAGCTGTCTCGGCATCCCACCGGGCTTCCTTACCGTCTCCTTCCTCCTTTCTCACTTTACCTCCTGCAAAGAGTCAGAGGAAAGAAAGAAAATATGAGGAAAAGAAACATGTAAATAAATGTACAAAGGAAAAAGTAGCAAAAAGATAATACTGTGTGATTTTTAAAAAAATGACAGTAAAACAACTTAAAAACAGAAAATGAAAAAAATGAGGAAAAAAGAAATATTTAAATAAAAAAGGTAACTTAAAAAAAAGCCCAGTAGGATTGGAAATAATAAAAAATTGGTGATAATGCTAAATTAATACTTTTGAAAATTAAAACAAATATTACTTTATCACACACTGTATAATCAATTAAGTTTGGAAAGTTTTATTATTTCATTTTTTACAAACGTCATTGGCAACAGCACTGGTTCTTCTGGAGTTTTTCGGGAGCAGATACCTTCAGCTGACAGAAAAATAAATTCATATTTTGACGAGTGGTCCATGTTTCCACTACCTAACAGCTGAAAGCGTTGTCCAACAGTTGTTGATTTGCTAGCAAAAGATATAATGATGCAACAGAGAGAGGTGGTACTTTAAAATGAGGAGAACCTTATTATCCTCACATAAAATGGATAAAAACTAATGTAGTCAACCACATCTTTAAAAAAAAAAAAAAAACACTGTACACACGAGGTCGGATTCAGAAAAGTTTTTATCCACATGAACTCGCACAAATCTGCCCCTGAGTGTTGTCTTAAACATGCCACACCCATAGGGGGCAGTGTAGCATAAAGCTAAAATTTGCCAGCCAATCAGATGGCTTCAAAACAGCCATGACTTCCTGTTGGGAATAAAACATGGCGCCAGGAAGTTCATTCATGTGAACAGATATATAGGTTGAAGTACTTTTAAATAGCGTGTTAGAATATAAAGTTAATAAAGCATGAAAGTTTGTCGACTGGGAATTTTGTCAAGTATGTGGATATTTGGGCGCAATATTTGTCACATGCTGTAATGCGTGGGACCGCAAATCTCTGTTTTCCCATGTGCACACGCAAACACAAATACAGTTTTATCAAATCTTCACTGTGGTCAGAGTTTTTATAAATGATCATTTCATAGCGATGAAAGGCCAAAACGCATAAAATTGTATTTTTTTCCCCAGACGTCCAGATATGCTAGGCCTTCGTTTTAGTTCACATTTTTACATGTTGCTGTTGCTGTATTGTGTTTCCCGTAGTACAGAAACTAGATTTTGCAGGAATCTTTTACGTAATGCGCAACAACCACAATCCCGCCATGAATACCAGGCCCTGAAATGTAGCAAAGTCGATCAGCTCTGTCCAAACCTCAACAGAAATGTTTTTACAGCTACGGGTGTGATGCAGCTCGGCAGTAAATGCTGGTAAGCACAGCCAATTCAAAGTCAGCACTTCTTTAAAAGAACATCAGCTGTGGGTATTTAGAGTTTGTTCTACCTTCAAGCTCAACAAAAAAGAAAAAAAAAAAGAAAAGAAAAGCTGAAATGATTTGCAGATCTCTGCCTTCTGCTTATTCCTAACAGTGCTTTGGAAATGTTGGTAAATGATCTTGAGCTGAAGTGATTTTCTCGCTACAGTACGGATGATCACGGAGCTCTGCTGCAATTGACTTCTTTTCTCTCTAATCCAGCGAATGCTAAGCTAAAACTAAAACGCTGGCTTCTGAAAGTACAAAACAATCCCTGACATCCCGAGCGCAATGTAGGTCTCCTCTGATCACGGCTGCCGGCGTGCCATTTCAGATGCATTGACAGTTTGTTCCTAAAATAGCTTTATCTGATGCCCAAACATGCTCCTGTCACTGATGCCGTATCTAAAGCTGCGTACCTCCCTCCCTCTCTCTCTCGTTCTCTCTCGTCCTGCTGTAGCTGACTGTAGCTAGAGTGTGTGGTTCAGCTTCTGCCTGCCCTTCTGTCAGTCACTCAAAGCATGGAGCAGAGGAAGGAGACGGGCAGAGGGGTCTTTAGCTTTAAAACTACAAAGACGTGCGGCAGTAACTTTCACTCATAGCGAGGCCTTTGGTACCCCGTCAAGGCTGAAGACGCAGAGGTCAGGGGTGAAACTACTGTATGTGTGTGTGTGTGTGTGTTTCATGGATTCGTCTCAACACGTTCACAGTATGCACTGTTGGTCCAATTTATTCTGAAATGAGACGTCCTGATCCATGTATGACTGTGGGGTTTTAATATCCACTCACTGCAAAAACAGAAATTCTTACCAAGTATTTTTGGTCCAGTTTTGTAGTGTAAACATCTTAGCACACTTGAAATAGGATGAAACTTAATCAACTGACTTTTTTTCAGCAAGAAACCGGAGCTTGGTTTAAGTTAATAAGACTTTCTTAATGTTGATGAAAATGTTCTAGCTATAAGTGAAATCATCTGCCAGTGGAACTTATATTATGACTTATAATAGGGGAAAAATGTTTTGTTTATCTGATAAAAATAGATTTATATTTTAATGACTGGTCTGTGTTTTGATTACCCAACAGTTGGAAAGGTTTGGGTTAGCAAGAGTTAGGTACCAGCAGTTGTTGAATTCAACAAGTGTTGGTTTGCTAGCTGTCAAAGCAACAGATAAGGGACATTTTTCTCATATTATGACTTATATTAGGTAGTTTTTTAAAATCAGTATTAATAACCTATGTAGCTATACATATAAATATAATTGAACTATTTCAATCTGGAAAGACTCAGACGAAGAAAAAGGAACAATTAAAAGATTTAATGACAGCAATGAATAACAGTTCTTTGGCGCTCGGGCCCCGGCAGCTGATCTGAGCTGAGATTTGATGTGAACTCGATGAACATCCCGATAACCGATTAGGGATGCTCTCCCCCCCAGGGCCCGACACTGGTGGTGGAGGTCTGGAAAGGGTGCCATCCTGCAGAGCTGAAGGATGTGGGTGGAGAAGGGGCGGTGGTGGGTTGAACGCAGCTGGGAAGCGGCTGATGACTTTGGTGTGGATCCTTTTATGCAGAGCTTGATTGATGATTGGACACGCCGGGTGAGGTCCAGAGCTGAGGTCGGAGATGAGCATAACGCCAATGGGCGAACGGAGGTGATGGAGTCTTCCAGGTTGAATTTTCGCTATCAGCTACATTTGTTTTGATTTCGTGCTAGCTCCTTCTGATGGTGCCAGTTTCTGGTAACAGTGTTAGCTCCTACTAATGGTGTTTCTGCAGCATTCAAGATTTCATGTTATAGACCAAAATTATTGGTTTTGCAGAATTCTGAGTATTTTCTCTTCCCCCCCCTCCCTACATTTAAAAATCTAAGACGAACTGGTATTCATATTCAGCTGCCCTACCATTGCTGTTATAGCTGGAGGTCTTTTGGGTAAAGTTTATAAAATCTTTGCACGTCTAGAGATTAAAATTTTGTCCAGTTTTTCTTTGTAAATCACCTGAAGTTTTGTCAGATTAGATGAGAAGCATCTTTGAAAACCAGTTTCCAAGTTCTGGCAGATCTCCGGACGAATGAACATATGAATATGTTTTGACCTGAGCTATTTCAATGTAGATTTAGCGTTATTGTCCTGCTGGAAGGTCTTAAAATACTGTAAACTGTGTCTTCTTTTCCTCTTAATGGAGTTGTGCACCAGTGAGTTGGTCTCCCCTTCAATAAAATATGTTAGTTTGTGACGTTACAAAACGCAGGAAAGCTCAAGGAATCTGAACACTTCCCTGAGCCCAAATGTATAACCTTTAAGCGAGGTTTAAAGTTTATGGCTGTCTTTTATAATCCAACCATTTCTTTTCAATGTTTTTGATCCTTTGCTCTTAACTTACAGAACTAATCCCTTCTGTTACTTTTTTCATTCAAAGCTTTTTTTCCTCTCTTTCTTTTTGCAATCCAGGAAATGAGCCTGCAGCTAAAATAGATATTTCTTTCTCTTCTTCACTGATGAGTGTTTCCCTCAAGAAAATATCACTTTTTCTTTTATCAGTTTTTTTTTATCATGTCTGTGTAGTTCAGGTGCAATTGTTTTACATTTATATGATTAATTTAGTCTTATTGTCAGTGTGCACACTAGTTAAGTATCCAGTTTGACAATGATGGAGATTTACTAAACGTAACCTTAAAAATAAGGCTGGTCTTGCATAAGCAAAGTTAAAAAGCGATGTCTTATGTTCTTCATGAAGCCCAAATTTGAACTACACCACTTTTTTTAACGATTTACGAGGAACATTAGGTATTTTTGCACAAAGACTTTGAATCGAATCAGTATCAGCTTGAATTTTACTCAGTATTGTTTCAAAAAGGATGTTACTGGTATCAAACATCACTGATATTTGGAGGCGTGGGGAACTGGACTGCTTTGTTTACTTCCTCTGCTGCCATTGCTAAAACCACAGACTACAGTTCTAAAACATCATTCACAATTTCTCTACTGGAGTTCTACTGGAGGAATCCAAGTCATTGTGAGAAAGTCCAGATGAAGAACTGGAGGGAGATGAGAAAGCAATATCCACGGCAAACAGAGGTTGAAGGGGGTATAACAAAAGCTAGCTAGCTCTTCTACAGTTAGCCTGGCTAAGTGTAAAGCTTCCTTCCAATCCGTTCCTCTGACTTTGTTTGGAAATCTCCCACTGACGATGGAAATGGCTAACTTTGATTCTTTCTCTCTGAGAACTAGCCGCCACACCGGAGAGTGTTGCTATCGGTCAGACCTGATCTCACTTAGCAAGGCGTGTTCATAAACTGGAAAAAGATTGGGGGTTTTGTGTTTCTGACTAGCTTGTTTCATATCGAACTGAAAGTTCTCTTGATTCCTGGTCACCGGCTAATTTCTGGTGGCATCTGAAATCGTGGCCAACAGCGTCGCGTTTCACTTCAGTTTGACATGCTGGCATAAACCTGCATGAGAGACTCGCTGGTTTGATCTATGACTTGATGAGTGCGAGTGTTTGTGTGTGTGTGTGTACCAGGTTTTATATCTTTATGGGAACCTATCTCTACAATGTGGGGTTATGGGGACCGTTGCTCCTTGTGGGGACATTTTCTTGGTCCCCATGAGGGAAATTGTTATTTTT